CCCCATACACAGATACCGTATGTAAGATAGGGATAGATTAGTGTGTAATATAATAGGAGGAGAGCAGAGGGGGGGGGGGGTGGACATATCTGATATTAGAAAATATACCGACCGTTTTTGAGAGTGTTTTTCGCTATGTGTTGTATGTGGGTGCTGAAGTTCAGTCTCTTGTCAATGTATAGGCCAAGGAACCTCCCCCCATTGTTTTTTTTTGGTAACGTTAACATTGTCTATCTGAAGTTGAATCTGATTTGGTGATTTACTACCTAATAATATGTAAAAGCTCTTTTCTATGTTTAGTGTAAGTTTGTTGGTTGACATCCACTAGTGGACTTTTAATTTCACTGTTTACTATTATTTAGTGTGTGGGGGTTGGGGTCAGAATAGACGAAGGTAGTATCGTCAGCAGATAGTATAGGTTTAAGAATGTTAGAGACATTTGGCAAGTCATTGATGTATATCAGAAATAGGAGAGGTCCCAAGATGCTGCCCAGTGGCACCTCTACTATCAATGGTAGAGTGGGGGTGGTTATGCTATTGATGACTACATATTGGTGTCTGTCACTGAGGTAGGAACGAATATAGGTTTATTCCAGAGCAACGTCTCGAATACTGTACCATAGTTCTTTGCTGGAGGTGCTGGATAAGCACCTCCAAAGGATACCTGATCAACCAGGCTGTGACTCATACGTCAGGCTGCGAGCAGCCGCGTCCAACAGCCTGGTTGATCAGTCCAGCAACCAGGAGGCCTGGTCGACGACCGGGCCGCGGGGACGCTAAGCCCCGGAAGCACCTCAAGGTAACCTCAAGGTAAGGTAGTGGTGAAGTTTAAGTAAGAGGTAGTTATGGTTTACAGTATCCAAGGCATTTCTCAGGTCAATGAAGAGGCCTATAGGAACTCATTTTTATCAAGGGCTGTGTGGATTATATCAAGCAGACTAATGATGGCATCATTGGTACTCTTTTTTGGGAGCGGAAGCCAAACTGGCAGGGACTTAATAAGTTGAGTTTTACAAAGTAGGATTAAAGCTGTTTGTAAATAATTGTTTCAAATATTTTTGAAAGTATAGGGAGAGCTTAGTGCGGGGCCTGGAGCAGAGAGCTTAGTGCGGGGCCTGGAGCAGAGAGCTTAGTGCGGGGCCTGGAGCAGAGAGCTTAGTGCGGGGCCTGGAGCAGAGAGCTTAGTGCGGGGCCTGGAGCAGAGAGCTTAGTGCGGGGCCTGGAGCAGAGAGCTTAGTGCGGGGCCTGGAGCAGAGAGCTTAGTGCGGGGCCTGGAGCAGAGAGCTTAGTGCGGGGCCTGGAGCAGAGAGCTTAGTGCGGGGCCTGGAGCAGAGAGCTTAGTGCGGGGCCTGGAGCAGAGAGCTTAGTGCTTGGCCTGGAGCAGAGAGCTTAGTGCGGGGCCTGGAGCAGAGAGCTTAGTGCGGGGCCTGGAGCAGAGAGCTTAGTGCGGGGCCTGGAGCAGAGAGCTTAGTGCGGGGCCTGGAGCAGAGAGCTTAGTGCGGGGCCTGGAGCAGAGAGCTTAGTGCGGGGCCTGGAGCAGAGAGCTTAGTGCGGGGCCTGGAGCAGAGAGCTTAGTGCGGGGCCTGGAGCAGAGAGCTTAGTGCGGGGCCTGGAGCAGAGAGCTTAGTGCTTGGCCTGGAGCAGAGAGCTTAGTGCTTGGCCTGGAGCAGAGAGCTTAGTGCGGGGCCTGGAGCAGAGAGCTTAGTGCGGGGCCTGGAGCAGAGAGCTTAGTGCGGGGCCTGGAGCAGAGAGCTTAGTGCGGGGCCTGGAGCAGAGAGCTTAGTGCGGGGCCTGGAGCAGAGAGCTTAGTGCGGGGCCTGGAGCAGAGAGCTTAGTGCGGGGCCTGGAGCAGAGAGCTTAGTGCGGGGCCTGGAGCAGAGAGCTTAGTGCGGGGCCTGGAGCAGAGAGCTTAGTGCGGGGCCTGGAGCAGAGAGCTTAGTGCGGGGCCTGGAGCAGAGAGCTTAGTGCGGGGCCTGGAGCAGAGAGCTTAGTGCGGGGCCTGGAGCAGAGAGCTTAGTGCGGGGCCTGGAGCAGAGAGCTTAGTGCGGGGCCTGGAGCAGAGAGCTTAGTGCGGGGCCTGGAGCAGAGAACTTAGTGCTCTGGCGAAATGGCGAATGAATTTAATAGCTTCTTTTCATCGATTGGTGCTAACCTTGCAAGTAAAATCCCACAGACTCAGACACACATCTCTCAGGCAGCTATCCAAACTCTCTCCTCCTCTCACCAGTCAGCCTGGCAGATGTTGTGTCCATCATACACTCACTAAAAACCAAAGCTGGGAACATCAGTGAAATCCCATCCATTGTATACAAGAGCGCCTCCCATGCCCTTGCACCACCCATAGCTCTGCTGTTCAACAAATCCCTTGAGTGTCATACCTTCCCTGATATCCTTAAAAAAGCAAGAGTAACGCCAGTTCATAAAGGAGGTAATCCGGCAGACATAAACAATTATAGACCAATATCAAACCTACCCCATACTATCAAAAATATTTGAAAAAATTATCTACAAACAGCTCTACTCCTATCTCGTAAAATTCAACATTCTTAGCCCCTGTCAGTTTGGCTTCCGCTCCCAAAAGAGTACCAATGATGCAATTATTAGTCTCCTTGATATAATTTACTCAGCCCTTGAGAAAAATGAGTTTCCAATTGGACTCTTCATTGACCTGTGAAAGGCCTTTGATACTGTTAATCACAATTACCTCTTACGTAAACTCCATCATTATGGAATCCGAGGCCATGCACTGGACTATATCCAATCCTATCTTAGTGATAGACACCAATGTGTAGCCATCAATAATATAACCTCTCCCACTCTACCTATAACCGTTGGAGTGCCACAGGGCAGCATCTTGGGACCTCTCCTATTTCTTATATACATCAATGATCTGCCTAATGTCTCTAACATTCTGAAACCTATTTTGTTTGCTGATGATACTACCCTCATCTACTCTAACCCCAACCCACATACACTAAATAATGTTGTTAATAATGAACTAAAAAAAGTCCACTTATGGATGTCTACCAACAAACTAACACTTAACCTAGAAAAGATCTACTACATTTTATATGGAAGCAAATCTACAAATGCATTTCAGCTTCAGATAGACAATGTAAACATTAGCAATAAAAATGATGAAAAGTTTCTTGGTCTATTCCTAAATAAGAGACTCAACTTCAGCACTCACATACAACACATAACTAAGAAAGTCTCTAAAACAGTTGGTATACTCTCCAAAATCAGATATTATGTACCTAACTCTGCTCTCATCTCTATATTATGCACTAATCTATCCCTATCTTAATTATGGTATTTGTGCATGGGGTTCAACCACTGCAAACCACCTCAACTCCATCATCACCCAGTAAAAATCTGCTATCAGAATAACAACAAATTCTGCTTTCAGACAACACTCAGCCCCCCTTGTTAAACTCCCTAAACATGCTAAACATAATCTCACTCCACAAATTCTCTTGTGTCAACTACATTTACAAAACCCTGTTCTTAAATGCAAATCCTGCTCTGAAACTCTCCCTGGACAGATGTAAAAGAACCCATTATCACCACACCAGAAATAAATATCGTTTTTGATATTCTCAGAGTCAAACTTAATCTGTGTAAACACTCTATGCAAATAAAGGGACCCAGTCTATGGAACTCACTCCCTATTGAATTGAAAAGCTGTCCAACTTTTGCGTCATTCAAAAACAATACTAAAAAGTACCTAATTTCATCTTCATAGTTTTTTACCTTTTGCTTTAAAATTGCACCGTATCTATTGCTACCTAATCTCCCAATCTTTATGTACCCAACCCGAACATCTTTACCATTGTGATCATTGCTGTCTTCTTATATGTGCTGTCAATCTGCTGTATGGTGTCTATTAATCTTGTTTAAATTACCAATCAAGCTGTCAATGTAATCAATCAGAGCTTTAATATACCAATGTGCTTTAATATACTTACTAATCTCTCTCATCTTATTTTTTTTCTTGCAATGTATTTGTTATTTTATTAATTCTGCTAGAATTTACCTACTTAAAATTATCTGTTAGATTAAGGACCTGCCCGAAATGCTGCGCGTACTAGTGGCTTTACAAGATTGTAAATACTATGCTATGTATTCTCACAAACCCAATGTACCTTCTTGTATATAAATAAATAAATAAATAAGTCTGACAGGTTGCTTTAAGCAACCCTGATTCTGAAGGTAGCTTTTGAGCAATTTTGGTTCTGAAGGTGGCCTTTGGACACTCCTGGATCTAAAGGTGACCTTTAAACACCCCTGGTTCTGAAGTTGGACTGTGACTTTTGAGCATTTTAACAAAGGTACTGGGGTATGTGAAAAATTTTGGTACTGTATATAAAGTAGCTTATGAAAATTTTCAGGAAAAAATGTAATTGCCTAATATGTACAAAAAGTTACCCTGGTCAGAGACCAGGCTGTAGGGACTATGAGCCTTGGATTCACTGCTAGGTACCCCAGTTGTTGTTGTTATAGATTCAGCTACTGGGAACAAAAAGTTCCAAGTAGCATGGGCTATGGTGAGCCCGTAGTAGACTTACCTGGCACAGGAGCGGGGCTGTGCTCTGTAGGTTCCCCAGAAGGTAATTATAAGTGTATTCTATAATGCTATAATTTTCAGCTGTGTTGGCAAAATTTTTTGAAGAGGTAGAATGAATGCAGGCTCACCGAGATTATGTATTGGGAATTCACTATAATTTTGTATGGCTTTGTTCAGTTTCAACATTTATCATTTCATTCTTTCAAGACCATTCTAATGTGGTGTATGCTATACATCAAACCTGTAATCTTTATTACTACAACGTACTGTGCTACTATTCTTTTTGATAATCTGTCACCTAAATCCTGTAAGCTTATTACTTCACCTCCATGTCTCTATTTTTGTATTTAGATTCATTCTGCACTGTGCATATATTAACTTGGCATCCCAAATCTGAGTTTTGCATGTATTAACTGGTTATTCTCATTGACAGGGTGCATCTTCGAGTCTGGTGGTGAAGTTTGCTGATACGGAGAAAGAAAGGCAGCTGCGACGCATGCAACAAATGGCCGGAAACATGGGTCTCCTCAACCCTTTTGTCTTTAATCAGTTTGGCGCCTATGGGGCCTATGCTCAAGTAAATGTGTCAGAGGTTAGTGTTTGATTGATTAGATTTATTATGTTGTATATAATTTAGAGTAATAAATTATGCTTTGAGCATAATTTATTACTCCAAAGAGCCCAGTGAGACCCGCCAGTCCCAACATCTTTCAGCACCTTTTGGCAAAGCCAATGCGAAGCACAATCTCCCTGTTCGAAGATTCAATCGGAAAGCGAAATACAATCTGTCAACTTCACTGTGACCCCAGGCGACAAGTGCACAAGGCATTGTATCAATCTGGGCTGTTGAAAACAGATACCCAATGACAGTGTTGAGACCCAATAGTCAAAATCACCACCAAAAACACCAAAATGTGTTTTGGTTGTGGCCAGGCAAGGCAGGTATCTAGACATCCACTCGACACACAGGATGAACCAGGAGCCATTGGAGAGATATGAAGAAAGTACTGTACAGTAAGAGCTACCTTACATGAGCAAATACAGACCATCTGCATCATCTTTTATTCTTATGTTGGTATGCAAGATGTTTTTTTGTTGTTACTATAATGTGTTTCTGTTTTGAAGATTTTTGTTGAAGAAAGAATGATTTTATTCTTAAATATTACTATAATCATTTTAATAATTAATTTCATATAAATATTGGCCATAAAGAAGCGGTTACTGTGCAGTAAAGCCACATTTCACATTTTCAAAACTTCCTATTACTAGTTTTTATTTAGTTTCAACTTTCACATGTTGGCTATTGGAAAGTAGTTTTGTGTGCAGTAAAGCCATTGAACATACATTTGAAAAGAGTCTGTGGCTAATTTTCCCTTTGAATTTGGCAATACAGTATATACAAATTTCCCTCATGTTGTTGCCTTTGTCAAAGGCAAATTAAAAATTTTTCAAACCAGTTCAGTTAATTGTGCGTTCTTATACTGTCGATAAAACTACACATTTTATAGTAGCCTATGTACTGTATTTTTAGAATACTTAAACAAAATTATTTCTTTGGAAATTTAACCTATTATTTTCATAGGGCTGTTAAAATTCCAACATGGAACTGGGATTCTAATTTAGATATAAAGTGCAGAATTTTTTATAATTACATATTAATTCAGTAGGTCTAAAAGCTAACAGGTTTAACAGTTTTGAATTAGACTAAAAAGGTACAGTATTTATATATATAATGTACAATAGTTCTTACATTCTTGGTAAAACCACTAGCACGTACAGCGTTTCAGGCAGGTACTAATCTGAATTTTCTCTGGAATACAATCCACTAAATCGTTTTAACAACCAGATTCACTGGTTGAATTAACATGATTAACAACCCATTCACTGCTGGGTGAACAGAGGCTATGATTAAGTATTGGCGCCCGGTCAATCCTCCCCGGCCAGGATACAAACCCAGGCCAAAGCGCTCGCGAAGTGCCAGGCGAGTGTCTTACTACTTCGCCACTGGGACTGCTTAATACAGGTAGTATTAATTTAAGTATTTTTACCTAATAACCATATGTTGCATAAAGTAAAGGTTAAACTTTAGTCGAGATTGTTATTGAACATAAAACAGTTGGATACTGTATTAATAATACAGTAATGTTTATACAATGATATATAATTAGTATTATTTTAGTTTTTACATCTCAATATACAAAAATTTGCCTAGTTCAATTTTGAACATATTGGACAAAAGCATTACAGTACTATAGATATTATCCACATTATAAAATTGTTCACAGTATAGGGTTTTGAAAATGTGAAGCGTGTGGGAAAATATATGAAGTGCTTGTAAACTAAGTGTGTACAGTATAGAGATCTATATATGATAACGTTGGTGGTCCTCGGCCACATAATAATAATAATAATAATAATGTTTTATTAATAAAAATACAGAGGATCAGATTCCAATGGTTAGTAGGTACAGCATTTTGATTATTTTATATTGTCACTAATTAAGTTCAACATTTTGGGCATAACTTAAGATAATGAGTGTATCGAGTTTAATATTTTTGGAATAATATTTTACATTACTGTACAGTATTTGCAAAATAATGTATAACAGAGATTTTACAGAGCTAATATATAGGTTGCTTTGTATAGTAGTATAATTGAAGCTTTGCCCATTTGTTTCCGCCTACACCGGGGATTGAACCCGGAGCCTCAGGATTGCAAATCCCGAGGGTTGTCCACTCAGCTGTCAGGCCTCTTCATGTATGGGCTTCTGGGTCCTGTTTGACTCTATGAAGTTCTCTGTTCCCTTTGAGGAGAGTCTACTTCTGTAGAGGGAAGGGTTTTCATATTCGCCCTCCTTGTATGAGTAGGATTTGCATTCGGCTTTCCCTAGGGTTTGTTTCCATGTGCCTTTGGGTCCATCACGATCATCCATTTGGAGGTTTCCTGTCTCTTGAGTCCCTCATGTGGTGGCTCAAGAGGCATTGTTTACATACCTCCTGTATGACCCTGATTATGCCTCGTTGCTGAACTCTGCCTTTTTTGAGTTTGGATCTTCTCCTTATTCAGCCTCCTTGAGCAGTCCTCTTGAGGAGAAATGTCATACGCCTGTCCTCCCCGAGCATTCACCTCTCTCGAACATTGTTACCCCATTCACAACATCATTAAAATAATGTACTAAATTGCTCAAACCTAACCGAGAACCTCAAATAGAAAACAGGACATCACATTAATTTTGTGAACCGCTATGATTTTTAGTGGTACTGTACATCAGTTTTTGGCCTTAGGGGACTTTACAAGTCAAAATGCTATGTACTATTCGAGAGGATGGGTGGCCTTATTGGAGGTGTTATGAGGTTCTAGAGTCTTTCCTGGCTGGCAGACAATCCCTTGTCTGCCAGCCAGGTGCTTGGTATGGCTCTTGTTGGACCTGCATGCTTGAGTCATGTGAGGTGTTAACCTCACATACAGGTGTTTATAGGGCCCTCCTTTTGCAGCTATTGTTTTCTGCCTGTTTGCTCCCATTCTTTCTCAGTACATGACATTTATCTTTCTCCTGTAGCTCTGTCTTTGTTACCTTGTCAGTAATTTTTGTGGCAAATGACCTTTGGCCTCCATCTGCATTTGGGTTCTGTTATGCATTTGCTGGGTATCCTGCAGCTTCCTTCTGACTGGCTCCAGGAGGACATTGAAATGCTTGGTGGGATCTGGCATGTCATGGTCTTGGCCCCTGTTGGGGCTGCGTCAACTGTGGTTCCTAAGCCGTATGCTCCAGTACCCCGGAATGTGGTGGCTATGTTCTTTGCCATTTGAATCACATGTTGACAGGTTAGTTTGGCCCAATCCTTGGATTCGGGATGGGCTCTTCTGTCCACCTTACCATTTTCTCCTCTCCTCTTTTTTTGTGGTTGTGGTGGCACAGTTCCTATTGTCAACGGCTATGGCCTGTCGACGTATGTCGGACCTCTGTTCTCAAGGTCCTAATTAAATACAAATACAAAATACAAATACAAATATTTATTCAGGTAAAGTACATTGTTTGATTAAGCTTAAGTCGTACTCTTGGAATATCAAATAAGTATTTGTTTCTGGTGTGGTGCTCATGGGATCTGTTACAACCTTCTAGGAAGCTTTTAAGGTCAGGATTGACATTACAGTTCAGCATTTTATATTTTTAAAATACACATGAGAGGATGTGCAGTGACTTAATATCTAACATATTCAGAGATTTGAGTAAGGGTACCGAGTGATGTCTGGGGCCAGAGTTAGATATTGTCCTAATAGCAGCTTTGAGTTGAGTAATTAGAGGACATAAATGATTTTGGGTAGTAGAATCCCAAGCACAAATATCATAGTTGAAATAAGGATAGATGAGAGAGTAATAGTGTCTCACCAGGGCAGGGCGAGGTACATGATATCTGATCTTAGAAAGAATCCCAACAGTTTTTGAAACTTTTTTTGATATATTTAGAATGTGTTCCTGGAAATTCAGTTTGTGGTCAATGAGAATGCCAAGAAATTTGCCATCTACTTTGTTATAAATTTGAGTATTGTTAATCCTGAGATTTATTTGATTTAAGGATTTATTGCCAAACAAAATATAGATCTTAGATATAGATAGATATAGATATAGAACAAATTCTTGTTCCTGAAGGCAGTTAGGTTGCAGTGTCACTTCATGTGGGTTGAGGTAGGCCATTTGTGGACCCAGTTACCGGGTGACAAGCAATTCCTTCAGCCGGTCCTTCTCGGTTGGATCGGTACCATGCTCGCTCTGCTTGAAAGGTATTGGCTGCTCATGGTTCGCTCTGGCCCTAATGCGGTTTGCCCTGTTGATGGGGGGATGGGAGCACACCCTGTTTGCCTACTCCTGATATCATGATTCGTGTTTTTATTTTTTTAGTAGTTTCCTGCAGCCTGCAGGAGGGTTGATTGGTCCTTTACTTCTGGGGAATCAGGTGTTTCTGGGCAGGCATCATCTCATTGCCTCTATCAGGTCATCTTAGAGTTGGTGGCTCCCAACATGGTTGAAACAACTGTGTCCCTTCGGTGAGTTCCCTCCCATTCCTGAAATGGGACTTGTCAGACCTTCGGCTCATTGTCAAACTTTCACAGTTGAACTGGTTCATTCCCTGCCCTTCCTTACGGGTGACCATTTTCCCAGATCCACCTTGTACTAGAGGTGCACTCTTTGACGATCTCTATGGACCTCTGGGTCATATATTGGCACGTCCCTATTTGTTCATGGTTCAAGGATTGGCTATGTTTTGTTGTTGTATGGGTGGCTTACCACTTTTGGGTAAGCCTGCCAGATATGAGCCTCATGTACACACAGGACGTCATTCTTCCACACTACTGTAACATAAACCATTTCTACTATATCGAGAAAACATTTAGACTATTCATTGATTATTGCTTTTTTATTTATAATAATAATAATAATAATAATAATAATAATAATAATTCCCATTGTCAGGGGTAGAAGCCTTTATATATATATATATATATATATATATATATATATATATATATATATATATATATATATATATATATATATATATATATATATATATATATATTTATATTAGTATATTTTGGTAGCAGTCTTTCCTGTAGACATATATTATTAAATATGACCGAAAAAGTAAGATTAATAATTCTAACACGAATTTTCTCAATCTTTCGTACATTTCTTTTCACTGTTGGAGGTAATTCAAAAATCAATTCTCCAAAATTCATTTTTATTTCTAGTCTCGAAATAAGAAATTTCTAGACTAGAAATAAAAATGAATTTTGGAGAATTGATTTTTGAATTACCTCCAACAGTGAAAAGAAATGTACGAAAGATTGAGAAAATTCGTGTTAGAATTATTAATCTTACTTTTTCGGTCATATTTAATAATATATATATATATATATATATATATATATATTATTAAATATATTGTTTTCTTGAACTAATGCTCTTTCGACTACCTAACCTACCTAACCTAACCTAACATTTTCGGCTACCACCCATATATTTATATATATATATATATATATATATATATATATATATATATATATATATATATATATATATATATATATATTAGTATATTTTGGTAGCAGTCTTTCCTGTAGACATATATTATTAAATATGACCGAAAAAGTAAGATTAATAATTCTAACACGAATTTTCTCAATCTTTCGTACATTACGCTTCACTGTTGGAGGTAAATAAAAAATCACTTCTCCAAAATTCATTTTTATTTCTAGTCTGACGCGACACGGGTGCGTTTCGTAAAACTTATTACATTTTCAAAGACTTCACAAATACATAACTAATTAGAACGTATCTCTGATTTTATATCTACATTTGAGTGAGGTGGGAAGGGTGATGTGGCATTAACACAAGACAGAACAGGAGAGGATATTAATAGGGTATTAAAAGTATCAACACAAGACAGAACAGAAACAATGGGTATTGAATAGAAGTGTTTGTAGAAAGCCTATTGGTCCATATTTCTTGATGCTTCTATATTGGAGCGGAGTCTTGAGGTGGGTAGAATATAGTTGTGCAATAATTGGCTGTTGATTGCTGGTGTTGACTTCTTGATGTGTAGTGCCTCGCAAACGTCAAGCCGCCTGCTATCGCTGTATCTATCGATGATTTCTGTGTTGTTTACTAGGATTTCTCTGGCGATGGTTTGGTTATGGGAAGAGATTATATGTTCCTTAATGGAGCCCTGTTGCTTATGCATCGTTAAACGCCTAGAAAGAGATGTTGTTGTCTTGCCTATATACTGGGTTTTTTGGAGCTTACAGTCCCCAAGTGGGCATTTGAAGGCATAGACGACATTAGTCTCTTTTAAAGCGTTCTGTTTTGTGTCTGGAGAGTTTCTCATGAGTAGGCTGGCCGTTTTTCTGGTTTTATAGTAAATCGTCAGTTGTATCCTCTGATTTTTGTCTGTAGGGATAACGTTTCTATTAACAATATCTTTCAGGACCCTTTCCTCCGTTTTATGAGCTGTGGAAAAGAAGTTCCTGTAAAATAGTCTAATAGGGGGTATAGGTGTTGTGTTAGTTGTCTCTTCAGAGGTTGCATGGCTTTTCACTTTCCTTCTTATGATGTCTTCGATGAAACCATTGGAGAAGCCAATGAAGAACTCTGTAGGGTAAGGCAGGTCCTAGTCAATAACGGCTTCTCCAATGGTTTCATTTGTTAAATATGACCGAAAAGGTAAGATTAATAATTCTAACACGAATTTTCTCAATATTTCTTATGTTTCTTTTCACTGTCGCTGGTAATTGAAAAAATCAATTCTCCAAAATTCATTTTTATTTCTAGTCTGACGCAATGCTTGAATGCATTTCGTAATAACTTATTACATTTTCAAAGACTTTAGTTTACACACACAACTGTAACCTGTAAACACGCTAATGTGTCATACTTATACTCGCATTTGGGTGAGGTGATATGGTGCAACAGTTTTGGATGAGGTGAATGAACTTGTGACAAACACAAGACAGAACACGAAATTATGGGTATTAATTGGATATGAGAGCATAAGAATGGAAGTAACTGCAGAGGGCCTATTGGCCCATACTTCCTCTTGATGCTTCTATATTGGTTCGGAGTCTTGAAGTGGGTAGAATATAGTTATACGTTAATTGGCTGTTACGCATAACTATATTCTACCCACTTCATTTAAATATTCTACCCACTTCATTTTTAAATACATTTAAAAATATTTGTGCAAATTTGCATTGCTTTTGAATAACTTGACACTATATAAATGCTGTAACTATGATAAGAAATATAACTACATATACTCTATATATAATAGACTGAACATCTTAAAATATTTTCTGGTAGTATTTATTGTATAGTAAATAATATATATTCTGTGCAAACATTTTATAATTAATCTAGAATGTCTGTGATTTGAGGTAATTCCATGTAAGAACTGCTGTACTGTACTTGCATGTTTTTTTGTTTCATTTATATGTCACAGCTTCATTAACGTTTTATTTGCATTTAAAACTTAAGACTTCTCATAGTTAGATATTAGTGCAGTAGCAATAAAATATTTGTAATGTTATTCTTGAAGGGAAAATAACAAAAAATGAAAAATAATAAATACAGGTAATATTTGTGTGTATTTGCCAACAGCAGCAGTTCATGCAGCAGCAGGCAGCGCTGATGGCTGCTGCCTCACAGGGAACCTACATCAATCCAATGGCAGCCCTTGCTACTCAGATGCCCCATGCTGCTGCACCCTTGGCCAATGGAATTACCAGCCCAGTCGTCCCGCCCACTTCCGGTAAGGACTGAGATGCTGAGTAGGTATCTTGTTACTCTTATTGGCTGTTGACTGGTTTTTCTTGATGTGAGATTTCATTTTATGACTGGCTCTAGGGATGGTCTTGTTAAATAGTCGTTTTAGCTTGTGTTCGGTCATCACTTCTAATGGGTTAGCTGTTTGTGTTTGGTAGTTAGTGTGCATGTTCATGGTCATCATCCCACGACTCTACATGGTTGCCAGGGGCTAAGCTCCAACCGTAATAATTAAACATATGGAAAAATATTGTTTTCTAGATTAATAACTTAGAATTTATCCCTTTCACATCTTGTATCTCGGAATATCATAAGTATATATAAATATATATATATATATATATATATATATATATATATATATATATATATATATATATATATATATATATATGTCGTACCTAGTAGCCAGAACTCACTTCTCAGCCTACTATTCAAGGCCCGATTTGCCTAATAAGCCAAGTTTTCCTGAATTAATATATTTACTATAATTTTTTTCTTATGAAATGATAAAGCAACCCTTTTCTCTAAGTATGAGGTCAATTTGTTTTTATTGGAGTTAAAATTAAAGTAGATATATGACCGAACCTAACCAACCCTACCTAACCTAACCTAACCTATATTTATAGGTAAGGTTAGGTTAGGTAGCCAAAAAAAGCTAGGTTAGGTTAGGTTAGGTAGGTTAGGTAGACGATAAAAGATTAATTCATGAAAACTTGGCTTATTAGGCAAATCGGGCCTTGAATAGTAGGCTGAGAAGTGCGTTCTGGCTATTAGGTACGACATATATATATATATATATATATATATATATATAATATATATTTATTCTTTAATTACATGACATAATGCCTGGAAACAGGATTCATTGTTAAAATAATACAAATTCCATAACCAGTGGACTGCAAACATTATAATGTTTATGATGACACTATTTGTTCTGGTCTCAAAATTGGAGCAGCTTAAATGCTTTGAGTGCAGATGAACAGCTACATTCTGAGCGAGACACTCGGTTACTTCCTTAGGGCAAAGTCTTATTGTTCACACTAACAGGGGTTATGCACAGTTAGGGTAGGTCAGCATTTCACACACCAGTACAATAGGCACATTTTCAAACATTTCTGTCTGGTCATACTGATACAAGGGAGACACTGGTGACTACTTAATCTATAAAGCCAACAAACTTTGTAAAATCTCTTTATGTATGTACCTTTACCTAAATAAAAATTATTATTATTATTATTATTATACTTACTCCAGTTCAGAATGATTGTGAAAATGCTCATTCAATTATGCTCAAAGCCTTCAAGCACTATTTGGAGTTGAGAATACCATCAAAGAGCACCCTAATGTATTGTTGATATGCCTGGCCAGTACCCCCCCCAATTTCCACCAGGTGGCAGCATACCTAAACATTAACAGTGTACTCTGACTGCTCACATCACTTTTTGTGACCGGAGAAACTTATAATGTAAAGAGAAATCATGGACAAACAGGAGGGAATGGAAACAACCATCTTGATCAGAAAGTAACATTTTATGTAGACTCAAAGGTTTAGTTCTGAGCTGTACCATTTGGCTGCTTTCTTTAGCAAGAGTACCCTAGAAAACTAAGAAAATACAACAAAACAAAAATTAAGGATTGAAGTTGCATGCATTGCAGAGTGGTTCTAGATGGAGCTACAGGGTAAGGAAGTAATCTGCTTCCCAGGAAGCCCACAACCAGGCACCCAGATCCCATCCCAAAGATTTGGTCATTAGGAACTGCCTCCCAAGGGCCACACACTGGCAGCACTAGTGGAGAATTTTAAGAAGATATCATGACCCAAACATATTCGGCAATTTACAAAATCTTTGATCTTGGATTTCAGATTAAAACATGGTGAAGAGCATTTCCAGAGAAGTGACCACTTGTAGAATTTGGCACTTGAGTGATGCCAGAAAACCTGGCTGAACTTGACCATCCTGCACAGTAACTGCAAGAGCCTGACCATAGAAAGTGACCATAGTAAAGCCTGACCATAGAATGTGACCATGTGAGCCTGACCATAGTAAAAAGAACCATGGAATGTAGGGATTCAGAAGAGGGACTCCAAGGAAGAGTGCTGGAAGAGTGCGGGCCGCTCCAAGCAACAGCCTGGTGGACCAAACTCTCACAAGTCAAGTCTGGCCCCAGGCCGGGCTTGGGGAGTAGAAGAACTCCCAGAACCCCATCAACCAGGTATATGTGGGCCTGCGGGCCGCTCCAAGCAACAGCCTGGTGGACCAAACTCTCACAAGTCAAGTCTGGCCTCGGGCCGGGCTTGGGGAGTAGAAGAACTCCCAGAACCCCATCAACCAGGTATATGTGGGCCTGCGGGCCGCTCCAAGCAACAGCCTGGTGGACCAAACTCTCACAAGTCAAGTCTGGCCTCGGGCCGGGCTTGGGGAGTAGAAGAACTCCCAGAACCCCATCAACCAGGTATATGTGGGCCTGCGGGCCGCTCCAAGCAACAGCCTGGTGGACCAAACTCTCACAAGTCAAGTCTGGCCTCGGGCCGGGCTTGGGGAGTAGAAGAACTCCCAGAACCCCATCAACCAGGTATATGTGGGCCTGCGGGCCGCTCCAAGCAACAGCCTGGTGGACCAAACTCTCACAAGTCAAGTCTGGCCCCGGGCCGGGCTTGGGGAGTAGAAGAACTCCCAGAACCCCATCAACCAGGTATATGTGGGCCTGCGGGCCGCTCCAAGCAACAGCCTGGTGGACCAAACTCTCACAAGTCAAGTCTGGCCCCGGGCCGGGCTTGGGGAGTAGAAGAACTCCCAGAACCCCATCAACCAGGTATATGTGGGCCTGCGGGCCGCTCCAAGCAACAGCCTGGTGGACCAAACTCTCACAAGTCAAGTCTGGCCCCGGGCCGGGCTTGGGGAGTAGAAGAACTCCCAGAACCCCATCAACCAGGTATATGTGGGCCTGCGGGCCGCTCCAAGCAACAGCCTGGTGGACCAAACTCTCACAAGTCAAGCCTGGCCTCGGGCCGGGCTTGGGGAGTAGAAGAACTCCCAGAACCCCATCAACCAGGTATATGTGGGCCTGCGGGCCGCTCCAAGCAACAGCCTGGTGGACCAAACTCTCACAAGTCAAGCCTGGCCTCGGGCCGGGCTTGGGGAGTAGAAGAACTCCCAGAACCCCATCAACCAGGTACCAGGTATGCCCCTGACCAAATGAGGTAAAACCAGAAGCTGGAAGTAACATAGCCATTGTTGTAGACACTTACAAAAAGTGGAACTACAAAAGTCAAGGCAAGATGCAAAATGATGCAGCTGTGCCAAAGCTACTCTACAGGAAGTAATGGTGTTGGGAATGAGCTGCTGAGTAGTGGAAAGTCAAATAAGGAAAGATATAAGAATGTGATGCTATGATGCTGGTACCCAAAGAACAGGGCCAGGAATCGGGAATGAACCTACCAAAGGAGAGTGGTGTTTCAATGGCATGTTTTAAGAACTGATGCTGAAGAACACCTTGTCAAGTTTTAAGACAAAAGAATATGATAGGTTGAGGCCAAAGCAAAGAAGTAGAGGCAATAGTGTTTGGTATGAGCTGCATGACTTGACTAAGGGAAGCAAGACAAACTTTAATAAAGGACAACTATAAAATGACAAAAGGCCCTAAATTGGAACATTGTCATCTGATCCCCAATAGCGATAGATTAGCGCAAGAAACTTATTGTGTGAGGATCAGAAGAGAAGATGCAGGTAGCCATATAACACTAATGGCTGAACTCTTATTTGAGAAGAATATGGAAGGGAACTTTGTTGAGACATCTAAAGAGCAGGAGTGGAAGTAATGCTGTCCATAAGGCAGCAAACAAAATGACACTGTTCACAAAGACTGAGAAGCCTCAAGACTGGAGGAAACAAAAACTAGTTCCAATTGGTAATAATGGAGATGCAGAATGTGGAGTGCAAATGCACAATGATCATGGAATTGGTCATGCTGCATATCTGCATATCGGAACCTCTGGAGAACGTATAAATCCACGATGGACAACATTGATCATAAGATTTACAAAAAAGCACTAAACTCGGCTACCCAAGAAATTAGGTCAGCCAAAAGAAAGTACAAAAGGAAACTTGCCTAAAGCATAGAGTAAGATCCAAAATCATTCTATGCCTATATAAGGAAAACTAAAACAAAAGACTTGGTAGGATCCTTAAAAGATGAGACTAACCAAGGTATAATGGACGATAAAAGGGCAGCAAACACTTTAAATTAATATTTTTTATCAGTGTTCACTCTAGAAAGATTAGATGACATCTCATCACCCACTCAAATGTTTGAAGGAGGTGAAGAGAATGAATTTAGGGATATACCCATAACATGTGACATAATCAGGAAGAACATTGACAAACTAAAAGACTCAAAAGTCCTAGGTGTGGATGGAATCCAATCCCATGTTATAAAGAAACTGGCAGAAGAACTATGCCTACTTTAATATACATGTGGACTTTATATGTAATATACGTAAATAATATACAGGATGTAATATACATGGATTTTGCTAAAGTCTTTGATAATGTACCACATGAAAGACTGACAAGGAAATTACAGGTTCATGGAATAAATGGTTGAATACAGTACTAGAATGGATAAAACATTGTTGAATCTACGCATCATGAAATGACTTTATGCTCCTTTACAATATAATCGTGTGGAAATGAATTCATATTTAATATTTAGTAACATAAATGTGATAATAATCATAATAATAATAGCAATTCTCTGGCTAGTCGGAGATATGTTTTTTTTTTTTTTTTTTGAGATATATACAAGAGTTGTTACATTCTTGTACAGCCACTAGTACGCGTAGCATTTCGGGCAAGTCCTTAATCCTATGGTCCCTGGAATACGATCCCCTGCGGCGAAGAATCGTTTTTTCATCCAAGTACACATTTTACTGTTGCGTTAAACAGAGGCTACAGTTAAGGAATTGCGCCCAGTAAATCC